TTGCTATACATAATTCTCACAATTTATAGAATATATTTTGTATATACGAACTGGTATATGAAATTGTGTTTGTGCAAATTCAAATTCTATGTTTAATTCACTGCAAAAATTGATATGTTGTATATATAGTAAACTGTTGCATATACGGTAATTTGGTGTAAATACGGTAATCTGTTGCAAATACGGTAATCTGTTGTATATACGGTAATCTGGTGTAAACACTGTAATTGTTGCAATACGGTATGTAGTGCAAATATGGTAGGTAGCATACACGGTAATGTGCAAATACGATAAGTTGTTTGCAAATAAGGTAGGCTGTAAATACGGTAAGACACCTGCAAATACGGTAAGCGGCATATACGGGATACTTAAATTGGTATCTAAACTACACATATGATATGTGATAATTCGGTTTCATTATCACCATAATATTCCAACAACAAGCACTACACTCATTGTTGAATTATACAAATAATATTTGGAGCTTCAAAGTGTATGAATTCATGTAGAGCCTAAAATGCTAGAATTTTACAGATAATATAAAGTCTCAATTAATATGACAACGTACTCTTAAAATCTTGCTCTTATTATTTAGCTCTTATCTTACTTCTAATTTTGTTGATTAGAAATGAAATCTATTTGACCATTTATATTTCTACCATCTCTAAATGGATGACGTGGATTATCTTTCATTTTATTTCTAATTTTGTTTGTTACAAATAAGGTTTTTTGACGATTTATATGTCCATTCTCTTTAAATGATGATGGACATTGATTCTATTTAATTATTGATATTTTTTTTTTGAATTATTCTTCGTAGATACTTACATTATTATTTTAGCATTGTAATTCTTCAACCTTCTAGACAATGAGTACAATTTCGTACAACTTATAATGCTCATCTAGTTATAAAATTCTTATGCATCCCTTTCTTAATTTTAGAATTCTTCAATACATTCTTACCATAGAATTCCTTATAATTGACTTCCTCCTCAAGGAACCATGTTTCTAAAGTCCTTCGAAACTTCTTCTAAGTTATACCATAGATATAGGTTGGCTACCTGCATTGCTAGCTAGTTTTAGCCTTGGGTTGCATCCCTCGCATCCAATCCTTGCTTCCCTTGTGTTTCACACACCCAACTTCCCTCGTACACTTCTAGCACATTCTTGAGGACAATTGTTGATTGCATTTACATGTTTCTATCATGTCACAATCATAGTGTAACATATATCGCTATCATATTTACAAGTGTAAATAATCACAAATATATCTAATTTTAAAAATTGTTTCGAGAAGAAGTTAATAGAATACAACGCTACATTGTCGATCGTATTTGTCAACAATAAAACTTCATATACGAGACGTCAATTTAGATAGGATTTGATTTTAAAAATTATTTGTTCAATAAAGGATGAGCAAACAATTATTAACCCAAACAAATAGATTCAGTTATAACTTATCAAGTAAAGTTGCATCATTTTAAAATTCATATTAATCACATAATAAAAAAGAATTAACTTATTTTAAAAGAAATTCTCATGAATTCTTAATATACAAGGCACTTCATATACGAGACGTCAATTTAGATAGGATTTGATTTTAAAAATTATTTGTTCAATAAAGGATGAGCAAACAATTATTAACACAAACAAATAGATTCAGTCATAACTTATCAAGTAAAGTTGCATCATTTTAAAATTCATATTAATCACATAATAAAAAAGAATTAACTTATTTTAAAAGAAATTCTCATGAATTCTTAATATACAAGGTGGATAGTTGATTTGATGCTAATAAGTTATTACATTCCATTATTAGAATCTTGATGCCTATTCAAATTTGAATAGTTTATTGTCATAAATCTTCATTTTAAGCAAAAAATTTAAATAACTAAATATTTAGTTCTATTTGTTTCCCTTTAAAACAAAATTATTTAATTCTCATACTTACTTTCAATAACATATTTACACAATAAAATATTTCGTATGTAAATTCAAAATTTTTCCATATATTTTAACCAGTCATTCTCCAAAAAATTAATATTCAAAACAACATTTTGCCCCTCAATTATAATCATTAAACAGGGGCTCAATATTATGAAATGAACATGTAAATTAAAATAACAATAAATATTTAATAGTTTACTGTCTTGCTTGGGATGCTGAATTACAGGAAATGCAGGAGAGAAGGGCTTATGTTTTGTCTGGATTGAGCTCGCATTCATTGCCGAGAGCATCGGCACTATGTGATTCAAAGAATAGTAAGAGCCTGCTGCACGCTTACGAAACCCCGTCCATGCTCGACAGGGTTAACCTATCACAGACTATGGTCCGTGAGCTCATCTCCTCGACCTTCTATCAGGCCATCACGATCTTTGCTTGCACAACCTCGACCGAGGTGACATCTGATATGAAAAAATTCCTACAAGATTCCATCTAAATGCCTCATTTTGTTTACTAGTTTATTATAATATTTGAACTTCAAATTTTTTAGTGTAGTTTGTATATAGATGTAGGCACTGTCTCGTATCATTGGGGATGGATGGTGAAATATTAGTCCACTTGCAGAAGTATGTGATTAAAATTAATTGTTAACTTTGATTTATATTAAAATCTAGATTTTAATTCCTATAAAACATGAACTTAATTTTGTATGTAGTTGTTCAATTCTTATGCGTCTATGTTGGTTTTTTCTCCCCATCGAACGACTCTCTCGATGGAGACTAGACAATGTGAAAAGGTGGCTATTTAGTTGGCAAATCTCTTTAAAACACAATTGACATCTTGTGTTGGTGCTTGTTGGTAATGGGTTAGTCTCTAAATTAAAATCTTGTTGCAACTTCATTCTCAAAATATTTTTTCTTGGTAGCACCAAAAGGATTTTGTCTATTTGACTGTAGATAGTACACACTTTTGAGGGGTATAAAATTATAAATAGTACATTTCAATGAAAATATGGGTAAAAAAGAGATAAAGAAAAGTAAAGGGAAAATTAAAAAGAAAAGCATAAAGAAAAATTAAAAGCCAAAATTCAACAAACAATTCATTTTTAACAGCAAAGTAGCAACTAAAACACTAAAATGTTGGCGATAAAGCTACCGACAAAAATAAGTTGGGGACCAAACGGCAACAAAGTTTGCGAATTCGAAATTAATGCACGTTATAGAACACTAAATACATTACAGTAACTTTGTATTAATTTCGAGAGACGAAATAATATTGATTTGGAATGCCAAAATCGAGTGGGGAAAGGCATTTTAAGGCTATGTTCTCAAAATTATACACTTTTGGCAAAATTCAGTTTGGCTTCTTAATCGACAATCATTGTAATTGAAAGCGAACAACTATTTGGATTGTACAAGTACGTATTGTGCCTCTAAAGTATCTATTTGACCTTTGCAAGAACTTTTGAGTATCTCCAATGCAATCATGAATTACTTAAAAGCTTACATCATATAAATTATAATAAACAATTTTCAAAAACAAAATCTCTTCAATGCAAGTTGATAAGATCTTGAGCTCCATCTAAATTTGGAAGTTAGATAGAGCCACCCAACAAAATTATTTTCATCTTTATATTTCAATTTTAGGTTATACGTGATATTATTTTTATTCAAAAAATACCTAGATAGCAATTCATACATTGTATTTGAGACTAAATTTAAATTGAATGTCTATTTATTATATAGTTGAAAACCTTTCAACTTTTGTGTCATTTAAAGGTTTTGATGGAATCTACTTGTTGCTATTGAATTTATCATTTATGACTTATCCACGCATTCATTCTTAATTAATAAGCAAGAGACACAAGTCACAACATCTCACGAAGTAGGTAAACAACCAAGTAATAGTGACTATTGAGCAACATCTTGCAAAATTTGTCCCCTTCAATTCTTCTGTTTCATTATCTATCACTTAAAATGTAATTTAGCATTTGATATGTAATTAATAAGATAATTAAAACCATGATTTGTTAACCCATGGAGACAAAATTGGTATAATTTTAATATTCGAGAAAAAAAATTAGATTTCACGTTTACTTTTTTCAGATAAAAGATAGTAGTATTTGATAGTCTAATTCAATTTGAATATAAAAGTTGCGATAACAAAAAACGAATCAAACTTGGTACAATATTAGGTTTAGTGGATCTTGCGGCAAAGACAAAGACAGAGAGGTGTCTCTCATCAACAATGGTATCGAACTAGACCAAAACCAATCACGTTTCAAGAAAAATTGTATATTGTAAATGGTTGTGAAAATTTTTAATTTGAATTTAGCCTTTGATTAAAGTTAGTCCATAAAATATGTGGTTGAAAATGAATTTTAAAAAATTGAGATCAAACAATAGCTTAATGTCTTCAAAATACAAAATATTTCATTGAAAGTCAATGATTCTACTTTTACTTCTACTTTTTATATGAGAGCTTCGTTAAGAAGCCGACTTAATTCACTTTTCTCTAAAAGCTTTTTTTAATCAGCTAATCACTTCTAAAAAATTACTCCAATGCGTTCAAAAGTAGTTTCTTAGTTTAAAAACAACTTTTGACTTTTCAAAAACTCAACCAACAAAGCCCTTAATAATCTAATTAAGAAAAACATAGTATTGAGAATCATACTATTCTAATCTTGTTAAGAGAATTAGAGTCCGAAGTTTAAATGCACCTTTAATTGAAGTTTCCTATTTGTTTTTCCGTTATTTAGTTATGATGCTTTTTGAAAAATTGCTCATCGTGATTCAGGCAAATTTCGAAGTAGCCGACCTAATTTTCACTATGTCAATTATGTAAAATTTGATAAACAATAAATATTCGAACTAGAGATATCGATTATCGAATATTATCAAATATTTTTAGTCGATTAAACTAAACATGCCATATTTTTAGGTCTAAAAAATATCAGGAGTTATTGAGTTTTTTCCTAATTAAATGTTTATATGAAAAAGAAAAAGAAAAATAGGAAATGCTGAGAGAGATGGTAAATTTGTAAAGCAAAAAATAAAATTGAAAACATTTGCTCTAATTTCAGTTCAAATTTTGCCTAAACATTCATACCGATCTCTCGGCAACACAAAAAGACGGTCTTCTCTTCTCATTTTCTCCCTCTATCGAGCAATCGCTGAGTCAATTTTGTAAGCCTCTCAAACCCTAGATTCCTCCTTTCTACTTATCTATGAATTTCAGTTTTAAATTTTTTAATTTCATTCTCAAAACATGTATATATATATTTTTATCTTTTATAAAATTGTTTATGCGTTTGTATTGATCGATCTTTTCGGAAACGAAACGCAACTGTGATAAATTTTTACAGATATTTTCTATGAATTTAGTAGGACATCTCCATATTATTATTGCTTGATAAAATATGCGCAATTTTAGCGCTTTGATTTCGTGTTTTTATTTCCTTTATTCTTTGGGTTTAGTATTTGTTTGTTTTCAATTTTTGTTAATTTAGCTAGTTACTAGTACCTCGTGCTTCAGGTGTTGTGCCTCACAGATCGACAATTGAATACGGAATTATCTTGTTTTCTATGTTGGAAATGTTGAAACAATTACTTGAAGTTGCTTTATTTTTTTACCCTTTTCTGGATTTTGGTTCATTTATTCTTTCTCCAAGCTTAGGTCTGTGGTTCTTCCTAGTAGTAAAATAGGATATAAGATATCTTTTGAATTAGGTAGAGAATTTGGTATGCAAAGCTGCTTTAATTTATGTGGCTATTTAAAAAGTTATTGAGAATAATTATTAATAGATCAATCAGAATATGAAAGTGAATATTTGGCATTAATTTATTCCTTGAGTGTGTGTTGACAGGAATTCTACTTGTTGAGGTGCAAATTCACTTATGCGAACGTGGTGGATGCATTAGTGTTGCTCATGAAATTGGTTTCTGCCTAGTGCATGAGCTTTGAGTTGAGAACTTTTTATCACTATGGGAAACTTGTACCGCAGGTTCGTAGAGCTGTGTCATCCTGATAAACAGTGTAAAAAAGGAATCCAGGCTCTGCGCAAGTTGCATGCTTATTTTTTCTTTTGCTTTCTTTATGCAGTGGGGTTTTTAGGAAGTCGAACGATGGTGCTCGACTCGTTATAACGACTTTTATGGGGATGCTGCTTGGATATCTTATAGGTGTTTCGTTTCCATCAGTTTCTTTAACTAAGGTACATTGGCTCAGAAAGTGAGATAAACTTACTTGAGAGGTCATGTGGCGTCATTTGACTCATTGTATTATTTATTTTTTGGCAGATTAATTTACCTTCAAGTCTCATGTCATCTTTCGATATAGCCTTTAATGATGATCGCCGTAGTTCTCCTAGTCGTAGTTTTCCTGAAAATCTTGGTTCGGGCAGTACTCCTTTTACACCTAAGGTATTTCTTTTGCTTCCTTTGGATTCTTGTGATGCTCTTTTGGAACTTTGAAGCTTTCTTTTACCTTGAAGACCGGTAAAGATTATTCCATTTGTTCATATATATGGCTGGATACAAAATTGGTAGAACTTGATGAGTGCCCATTATCTTTCTTTATCTAGTAGTTACTTGATTATAATGGATTGAAGTGCAATGGCTCTCTTATAATTGATGAATTCTTTGCTATGCTTTGTTTAATATCTATAGCAAGGTTATGATACCTTTAACTTCTCCTGATGATTTATTCATGATTTTTGGCTTCTCAGATCTATGCTCCTACAAACCCTCGTGGTGCAGAGTCTTTGCCACCGGGAATTGTAGTTTCAGACTCAGATTTTTATCTGCGAAGATTATGGGGTGACCCTAGTGAGGTAAGGACTAGAAAAGTGGAAGTGGTATTACCGCTGGAATTTCAATAATTTCTGTTTGTCACGGAATCCTCATAGTTAATGCCAATTTATTTCTACAATTCGAATGCAATACTTTGATGAGTGGTCAGATTCAAACTTATATGTGCTGTTATTGTTCATTAGTTATGCATATTAGACTCTGCTTGGATTTTTGCTATCCTTTCCACTCCTTCATTCACTGATGCAATCCTCTTGCATCATTGTGGATGGCAATAAGAATGATGACGTTGGTAGCCATAGTGAATATTTAGCAGCATGAAAGCAATTATATGACTAGGATCCAGAAAGAAGTTTCAATTGTATAAAAACTTTGGTAACTGGAGTATGCTCATAAGATTGCTTTGGAACTTACAGGATCTGAAACAGAAGCCAAAGTACCTAGTAACTTTTACAGTAGGTTTGGAGCAAAAGAATAATATCGATGCAGCAGTGAAGAAGGTTATGTGGGTTTGAATTTCATTGTGATAATTGTAAATAGGATTATTATAGGTTCCTTTATACTGAGTTTTCTTTTGATATAATATGATAGTTTTCCGAGGATTTTCAAATCATGCTTTTTCACTATGATGGGCGGACCAGTGAATGGGATCAATTTGAGTGGTCACGGCGTGCAGTACATGTTAGTGTCAGGAAGCAAACGAAATGGTAAGATTTATCAATTTTTAGCTTACAATTTTCTTTAGTTGTTTTGTTCATATTCTCTAGTGAACAATAGACATTGTGAAACCTCTTTGAAGGGAATAAAAGCTTTTGCATTTTTATCCACTGTGGTCATGATTTTCTTGATTTCCTCGAATTGTGCCTAGGCCACCATCAGGTACTCTTAGAAAATAATGAGTCTAAGTGGATAAATAAATTTCTCTGGATGTA